ATATCGGAATACAAAGTTATGATAAAAACACTGAAAGAAGGTGCAGCTGCCTGTTTAAAACAAGAAATTCCGTTACATAGTCCGTTAAAACAACAAATTCCGTTAGTTTTTCCGTTAAAAACAAGAAATTTCGTTACATAGCCACTTTTAATATATAGAAGATAGATATACATGCTTTCTAATTTTGGGCCTCCAATTCAAGGCCATTAATACTATATCATCCTTTAAGTCCTTAATCTTTTCAAAGTATGAAATTTAATCTCCAAACTTTGCATCCAATAATCAATTTTGTTCCCGTACTTTGAATTTTGCAATTTTTTCACTATTTTGTATTCTTTTCTCTAATTCTTGATCAAACATAAAGTTTTACTTACAAAATACAATATAACATAAATTAGGTAAAATTTTATCCAAAAGACAATAAAGTATCATCATTTAGAGTCTCAAATAAGTGTAGAAACTACACTTATCACTTTACAATTTTCCCAAGGAAGCAATCAAATGGTGCATTTCAGTATCATTTATTAAAGCAAGAACTTTACCTAGAAATCTCAAATCGGCACTTAGTCTCGCATCATGTGTAGTCTACCTGTGATCGCTAACTGCTTTTTGTCCAATTCTATTCCTATTTTGTGATTCTATTAACTATCGATATAAGCACGAGAAAGTGCAAATTTAACTTAAAAGAGACTGATGAAAGTAATATTAGCATGTAGGATGATAATAATTTAGTGGAGTCATATCTGTGGAAATCTTGGTGGTGTGATAATGTCAATGGACCCACTCTGCAAGATTTGGGCCCGTTGGAGTTGGCAAGAATTCCATGGAACTTGGAAATTCAATTTCATCTTCTACCATTTGCAATGTTTGATTGACATAATTTTCTTGACAATTCATTTTCTAATTTATGCTTCACACAGTTCCAATTCCTTGCTTTTGTGGAAAATCAATTCCCACCAATTTGGTGGGATTTGGTTTTCCCGATAACCTTTTTTTTTTAGTAATGGAAATAAATNNNAGGTTTGCCAGGCTTTTTTTTTTTTGACAATGAAAATCAATTTTATGGATAATTGTAAAAAAAAAAAAAAAATTCCCTTTAATGGACAATTTTCATGAAAAACAAATTCAAACGAATACCAAAAGAGCCAAAATTTCAAAATTTTCAGGTAAAAAATTATACCAATCAAACACAATTAATTAACAATTATCACGAAAATTCATTTTCTTTCCACCAAAATTCCATTCTTACAATCAAATGGATCTTTATTGTTAATTTGGAATGTCTTTTGTTTTTGTTTTATGTGTAGAAGAGTTTTATATGAAAATTATCTTAATTTTTGTATCCAAACTAATTTTTAAAATTAGTCTAACAAACTTTTGGATCACAATGCAGTTACAAAAATTAATAACTCTGCCATCATTTATAACATTTACTTCTAAAATTCAAATTAATATCGATAAAATGTACCACTAAAATCGTCATTCGAACAATATTTGGAAGTTAAGTGCACGTATCGTCAAATTATTTTATTTTAATTTTTCCAGAGAAACTAAAGATAGTGCTGCACAATTCCTGATTTTTACTTGATACTTCATGACCAACATATATAACTTAAATTAGTTGCACAACACATTCTATGCTTTTGATTAAATTAGTTGCACAACACATTCTATGCTTTTGACTCATATGCCGATGTGTATACAAGAAACCAAATGGAGGGAGCGTTTACGATATGTTGTGCATTAAACATGAAAAAATTGAATATGCATAAAGGGCGTGTCTACTAGTTATTGAAGTTAGTTTCACCAGCAAACTTGACTAATTTTTAATGTGTTGTATCCACCGTAATCTATTTTTTTCGATGGTGATAATATTTGTTAAGTTTTTACTGTTGGCAATTATGTGGACAAAAGACTAATTTGTAACGTGATATAAAAGTCAAGGACCTAGAGTGCAATTTGTATAAATTAGGGTAAGAGGTCTAGGGTTCGAGCACAAAAAGAGGAGAAATATAGCGTAGCATACTCGCTAGCTTCTCGCC